TAAAAATGAAAAGTAACATTTGAAAAATGAGTTTGGCACTTGGTGATTGCAGAATGAAAGCTCACCTACACGTAAACGATAGTCCTGATAAAATGCGAATCACGCAGAAGTCCCAACCAGTATTACTATCGCTACCAATCTGCTAAATTCTCTCCTCTGTATATCTCTTACTGCCCGGAGCATTTTGCCGTCCGTTTCATTCCCGTGAGCGAACAGCTATTACGTGTCTTCGTCTTACCTGTCAGTACCGCTCGTTCTCCCCTGTATTTCTCTATCTTCTTTCCACTCTTTGTGTCTGTTTCACTCGAAAATCCTCTACTATACCAATCGCGAGTGCCTCTCTCTCTCTCTCCCTTCCTCCCACAAAACCTCTTGAGCTACAGGATATCCTTCTTGCACCCGCGAAAATATCAACCTTTTCTCTGTTGCTCTCGTGGTGAGTGATGCTCTACCCTGTTATTCCCTCCACGGTTTCATTCGCATCCAAGGTTTTGCCGAAAGCACCTCCTGGGAGTCTACACTCTCTTCCATACCTATATACGTGTCTGTGAATTTCCAATACATTTATGGGACCCTTCATTTTTCTCCGATTACCTGTTTGGTTTCGTCCTTTTCCCTGAAATATATTGGAGAACCAAAAACTGTATTGATCTTTCCACGTGCCCATTGCATTTGCATTTCATCATTATTTCAGGGTTTCCATTTTTATCAGTTTTTCAGAGGAATTATTTCAATAAACAGAGAATTGATGGAATAACCGATTTTTTTCTCTCTCATGTCGAAACTGTTGATTAAAATTTTGTCAAAATATTTTTGACTGAGTGAATTGAGAGGTGAGAGTTTCCACTGGAAAGATGAAAAAAATACAGATTTTACACCTGAAACTTTCACTGATATAATGGTTCGGTTCCCCGAAAAAACGAGAGGCAAATATTATCCTAGGATCATCCGTATATTTGCACCGAGTGCCCAAAAAAAAAAAAAGAAGCCAATAATGGAATTAGATGATCTTTTCAAAAAAAGGCTGTAATTATTTTGAAGGATCTTCAAAATCTCTGTCGGTTGGAAATGAAGAATCCAATAAAGTCGATAGATATATCAGACTAGTACTCATTCCACATTTTTTTATGGTATAAATATTAGTTTTGATGGTAGGCTGGTAAAAAGCGAGGATCTATAAAGCTGTTATTAATAGGAGGGGTAGAATAGGGGTGGGTAGCCACTGTGAATGTTTGCCCTCGGTATGGGATGTATAGGATAGTTCATTGTGGGCTTTGTGGTGATGTTGAGGGACAGAGATATCCGGAGTATAAACCCAAGTTGAAGAGGAAAAGCTGCAGCTGAAGGGGTTGAGAGGGATAACTGTCGGTGGGGAATACAAAACCGATGGGAGAATTCTCCGGTTTTTTTTTCCTCCACCTATTTTTCTTTTTCCATTCATCATTCGAATTGTGCACATATCGAGATTCATCCATAATTTAATGCCCACCCGTTCGATATTATAGAATAATAAATCCCTCCATCGGACTCTCTACAGCTGTTTTTCCTACGATAGTTCAGTTACAACTATTGTTTCACGAGTTATGAAAAAAAAAGTTGGGCCATCTTATTCGACATTTTTCACTCCTCGGCTGATACAATCTCAACTTTTCAGATGTACTTTGAAATACGTGGGAAAGCATGAGATTGCACAGCTGGTAGCAACGATTTCTCGTGAAACCATTGGTAGGTGGTCAGGATGGAGAAAAGGCAAGTGGATAATTCCATTTTTTTTTTCTAAATAAACAACAATGACTGCACTACCATTGTTGTTGATAAATTATTGAATGACCAATTACTAGTCAAGCTCAACCACAATAGCGGACAAATCAATCAATTAGAAATATTTGTCCTCAATAATAAAGAGATAATAAGAGAGAGCCAATTGTCAGGTGATTGTGTTGTTTGTCACCAGTGATCTCGTCAGGTTTTGCCAGTTGAGTGGATTGTTTTTTTCTTTTTTCGGTCCCTTGTTTTGTTTGAAAAGACCGTAAGGGCGAAAGATATAATACATCCAGCCAAGTAAAGGCTCCTTTGTCTCAGAGAGTGGAAGTACCCGCAGGAGAAGAGAAGAAACAAGAGGGAAAAAGAACACGTATACGTTAACGTGAGCTCAGTAGGGGCTTCAGTATTTTTATTATTTATTCCATTTTTTTGTCATCTCTGGAGTGAGCTGCCACGTCGCCCTGATCTGTCCTGCATGTTCAATTATTCTATTGTAATGAACTCTTTAATTACTCACAGAGTTTCATGATTTTTGTGTGTCTTAAATCAATTGGTTGCTCAATTTGTTCATATTGGTGATAAATAGAAGAAAAAATAATGGTAACACTCTGGAATGATTTGTGGAGAACAAACGAGGATAAATTCTGATATTAAATTTCCGACTGGTGATTTGTATAATAGCTCAAGAAAACTTGAAATTTCATAGATTCATTTAATCGGATGAGTCCAGTAAGACGAGTCCCACAATCATTTATACCGGAAAAAAGCTTGAGGGGAGTGAAGGGGCGTTAATGGTCGCTATAAAGCGTCAATGAAGTGCCAGGCTTTGGATTCAAGGGAGAATGTCAAAGAAAGGGAAGAGCCGGAAAGGATCCCAGGGTCTTTTGTTTCTCAGCTGAGTTAGGCAGTGCAATGCCACCCTAGGGGCTGAGAGAATGAGACGAATATACAGAGAACAAAGAACTTGAAGAAGAAGAGTGATTAAGGAAAAAGTTGAATTGCTCAAGTAAATAACTCGTGATACGTGACTCGAATGAGGGTGCACTGTTTTTTTTGGGGGGGTGGGGGGGGATTCCGTCAATATGACAAATGTGTAACAACTTTTCACTTGTCTCTGGTAATTATTATTTGTGTCCTCAAGCCCAGCCACTTGCTTTAATGTCATAAACATTTGGTGCTGCAATACAAAATGATAAAATAATAAAAAATAAAATTAAAGATTGGAGATTAAACCTCGAATAAACTCGTGGTATAATTGCTCGTTGATTACAAAGAGTAAAAATTCTCATTTATTTGAAAAAATGCAATTATCCAGTTGTTTCATTTGTCATAATGCTATCACACGAGATGCAATCTATTCTTATTATCCAAGGAATCGGTGAAAAATAAAAGCGAGTGGCTTCCGTGGAGCGCATGGCGAATAACAAAGTAACACAGCAAGAGAAAATCTATGTACATGTATACATATACATATAATCTGGTTGGAGCCCACCCACGCATTTATATCTGCGCGTGGTGAGACACGGGAGACGATTTATGCTATGGGCTACTGGCCAACAGTGACTCGTTAGAGACACAACTTGGTGGAGATTAGGTGGTAGATATACGCATGAAAATTCAACCTTCCCTCTCGTAAATATCGCTTATGACATTTCATTGACATAACACACGTTGCGGAAAAAAATGGTGATAAAAAATCACCAGGAAAAACCAACAAAATGCCCTTTTTTCGTTATGTCGGTTACAGATTGCCTTCGATAAACCCCAGTCCCAATTACTCCAGAAAAAATTATTAATAAACCGCAGCACTTGGAGATCGGTTGAATAAATGAATGAAGAATTACGTGGCAAATGCTGTACGATACGAAGGAATGATTTATTTGTTTATTTTAATTAATAAATATTTGTAGGGGTGGGTTAATAATGTGGGATTAGTTGAATGAGGTGTTACTGATAAACTGAATAAATTTCAAGGCTTGTGGATAAATATGTGGATAAATATGTGGATAAATGGACCTGCAAAAAATCTACTCTCAGCTTTATTATGACTGTGTACATTTGACTGGGATCGTCAATATGGTGATGTCATAACGATGAATTGGTACTGAGAGAGGGAGAGAACAAATAATCGTCTGTGGGTGGGAAAAGCGACGAATGAAAACAGACGGAACGAGTATGAGAGCGCTCAATCGATCCGCGGGAATATGGAAATCGGCATTGGAATTGCCAATGCCCCTCCAACGATTCCAATGAGAGCCAACGAGATTTTCGGGAAATTATTCTTTTCCTTTTACCACTTCCATTATCACCAGTTTTTTTCTTTTCTTCTATTTTGGGAGCATTACGTATTTTAGACTCTACTCTCTGGCTTGTGTGAAATATGAAACGACTGCACCACTACTTCGGCTTCGATTTCACATAGAAATCGAAACGCTAATTAATTCAATGCAACCAACTCCTGTGAACAACAATTGCTTGGATTTTGACATAATGCAAATGGATTATTCAAATTTGCAAGTGGTACGTTTCAATTATGGGATTTGGTACTCATGGAGATCGAATGAGAATAATGAGAATTCAATAAATTATCAGATATTAAATGACTGAGAATTGCAGAAATAAATCATGGGTTTACGGATGAAATTTTTAATTATCCCCATGTTTAATTGAATATTTGACTACCGAAAAATTATATCGAATATTTGTCCAAGTTTTTAAATACCAAATTAATTACTCACCACTTTTAGTACTAGAATATCAAATGGCGGAGTATTAATTATTTCTCGTGGCACTTGCGTCCGAAAATATTCAATGTCTCCCCATCATTTCTCCATATCAATCCTCTCCGTTCTATTGATCACCTGCATAATTGTCGATTATCCAAGAGCAATGAGACATTGACGACATTAAATACGAGCCACAACGTGCACCGGGATTCAGCCAGCCGTGATGAAGCGGAAGCTCATGCCTCTCATCGTGGCCTTTTATTTTTCCATAATACATTGAGAAAAGGTGACAGCAACTCCAGATAAAAAAAAAGCGGAGTGAGACGAATACATTGGTTCGAACAAAAAAAAAGCGAAAATACGAGAACTAAAAACGTGTGAAAAAAAAAAGTAAGAGCAAATTGTTGGACCCGACGGAGGTTCGCCCCTGGGATGGCCGGCCCTGGCCGAGGTCAGCCGAGTGGCACCGAAATCCTCCGATCTTGCCGGAGACTTTAGCCATGTGTTGTGTTGCTGTACCGAGCACTTTGTGACGCGGGAGGTGCAGTGTTTGATTTTTTTTTCACCCTCTTCACCTAAAACTCGCTAAAATAATCATTAACAGTCGTACAACGAGTGAAAGAAATACGCAAGTTGCGTCTTATCACTGAGAGAGAAAAAACGAAAAAAAAGCCCAATCCCAGAAAAAGTACAGGGAGGTTGTTTTTCAGGGTGTGCCCAAAGCGACACCCGGCGTCGTCAAGGTACTTATCGTTGCGTTGGTAGAGCGGCACAAAGATAACGAATCATGTGTGAGCGAGTGCGAGGGAGAGAACGAGTGTGAGAGAAAGAGCGACATCACCACCGAGTTATTGACAGAGACGGAAATCCAAGAAATAAAGAGTGAGAGAAAAAAATAAAAAAAAAGCAAACAACAACGTACAGGAGCGAGATGAACCGAGGGCTAAACTCATTGGAGGGAATAAGGACGCACTGAGTGTTGTTCTCAATCGAGAACTGCTTTTACCTCCAGGACTCGTCCTCAAACCAGCCACTGATACTTCACCGTCGCATACATCATATCCACGAATTGTATTAGTCCAGAAAATTACTCGTCGGGCTATTTGAAGTACGCATGTCGCCCAACTTTTGACATAATCTCAGTGCTACTGTTTGTCGTTTATTCTTTCTCTCTTTGGCATTATTTTTTTAGTGTCATTTTTTTGTGACACTTGCTCAGGTGAACGTGTATTTGTGGGATAACCGTGCGCCGGGTGTAACGGATAAGTGTGGCGCGCACGGGAGTTTTGCGATAGGAGAGAAGAGTGCGCGGTGGACGCGCCCGCTGTCGGTGAAAAAAAGGGTGTGCGTGTATAATAATCGGGGGAGAAAAAAAAAAATACATGCAGTGGAGTGTTCAAAAATCCCCGATAAATATCAATCAATTGGATTTTCAACAGTACGAACCATTTGGTGTGAAGTGTTTGTGAGACGGTGGTGTGTGTTGCAGCAACTAAATCGTCCTGATATATCTGGGGTGATTACAGAAAATAAATAACAGTGAGAAGAAGTTAATAACTGTGGAGACGAACGACGTTGTGGAACTAGAGAGGGAAAAACAGGAAAAAAAAGGAGAAAAGGGGGAAAAAAAAAGGAGCAGGTGTCTCAATGTCGGTGTTGATTCGACTGTTCGTCGTCGGGAGGTCTGAACACCATTCAATACAATGGTAGGTGCATTCGTGTTTACGATCATTTGTCCTTTCAATGTCGTTTTTTAAACCTCTCACCATTGGAAGCACTCAGAGAGCCCCTGTTTCTGGTAATAAACTTAACAACAATTGTGACGAGATGTTCATTGTCATTGTGGGATTTTAAATGGTTCAATCGGTTGAATCGGTTCAATGGGCTCAAACCAATGGAGAAAGTATCTAAATAATGTTGTTTGCTCATGTGTAATACATACACGAATATCACTTCTCCCAGCATTAATTAAACTACGCGATAGATTTGTCATTCGTAATGTCTCCCTAAACGATGGAATTACCGCAAATGTCGTTTGCGTTTAGTGATGCTGTAATTACGATGATGCCTAGATAATAATGCACCTCATCATTCGATTGTCGTTCAAGTGACTACTTATCACACACTCTGTTTACTTTTATCATATTATTGGTGAATTCGCACGGATACGTGTGTGGGTTCTTTTGATTTTTCTACATGTGTGTTGAGTACTCTCGAGTATCACCAATACATCAGCATCATCACGACTGGAAGACTCTTTTCTCAGTGTTGTATGAGTGATAATACATAGAGAGCCGACACATGCTTGAGAGAACGAATGGAGCTTTGTCTCTTGGTCGAATACTTTGTGCGCGCTTGCGCTCATATACAAGCTTCACATCTCCAGGGTAAAATAATCCATGTGTGTGTGGATGTGGAATATATACACTGGTTTTGCCTCTCGCTATACAGCGAGATGCATTGAATTTTTAAAGGGCTTTTCACTTCGAGGTTTAACGCGCCAGGCGAACCTTGACAAACCCGCTCTATCCCTACCCCCCCTTCCCCCTTCTCCCGCCCCCTCTTCTCTTTTTTTTTCTTTTTTTTTTATTCCTCCAGCCGTTGGGTTCCTCTTGAATTTTTTTTTGACTCCAGACAACGCACAAAGTGAATATCAAAGTCAAAAAGTCAGAGGTGAATTTTTAACATTCTGAAAAAAAGTCGTTCGAGCGAAAAACTACTTCATACTGCATTTCGTATTGAATATTGCAGTGAACGAAATACGTGTTGAGGATGGCGGGAGGGTTTTTTTTTTTTATTCTCCTTTGGTTTTATTTTTCCCCTCATTTTCGAGTGGACGATGGGAATAAATCGTGATCTCCCGTCCAGCCCCTATTCACTGTTTCAATTAGACTCAATTTATTTCTCACACATAACTCGAATCTCAGGGGTGTTCATGACATCATTATAAGTTAAGGTCTACATCGACGAATTACGTGGTGCTCATTCAACTGTTTCTGTAATATGATTCTTCCTCTCTTCGTACCCCTGGTCTTTCCGTGGGGATTCCACTTACTGCATCCCACACAAGTACATTTTATTGAGAGGATAAGGAGGGAGATGGGAGAGGGGTAAGAGTGGGGTATAGTATGGCTCTTGTAATTACGATTTTGCGGTTACACGCATCGTCGAATGAATCATTTTCACTTGCGTGTGTGTGAATTATATATGCACATGGCTGACGAGTAGCATAATAAAATGATGTATCGCCTGTACGAGGAGAAAATGCCATTTCGAGTCATCGATTTTCATGTTTATTTATGGGTTTGTCATGATAATGTTTCAACATTTTTTTTCTCTCTCCCTTTCAATTCCTGATACTTGTGCCTTTCTCTCATTTTCTCAGTGGTTTGTTATCCCTTATGCCATCAGTTGGGTGAACCAGTAATAGACCTCTTTAACATGAATACCGATGTGATGGATATTGTATGGCTTCCGAAAGTATAAGTGTTTCTAGCGCACGCGCGTTAATTGGATATAACTAAAATCCCTTGCAGTGAAAAATGCCACATTAATCGCCTCGGGATGACAAATCGATTCGACTTGTAGGAAATCACCTCGTTATATGTTTTTCCACCGTTTAATGGATTTGAGTGGTATTAGTACTGCGTACAAATGGAGTTGTCATACTCTATGATAATTTCGTAAGTGCGGAATATCGGGTACATTAGGTTATGACTTCTTATAATTGTAAATTATTTCATCTTTCGACATGATCAGTCATTCCGTGTGACAAGCCGGTATTCATCAAAAATTCCGGAAAAAAAAACATTAATTTAGGTTTCAATGTGAAAAATTTTAATTATTTTTGTGCTCATCTTTCACATTTAATTTTCGAGGTCTTCTAAAGTAGATTGAATAAATAACACATAATACAGCGAGGGTATGTGAATTCTGGAGATTACACGTGTCATATTCGTTCGCCTTCACGACTGGTTGTGATAGACTCGCGATCCGCTATAAATTGCATGTACGTTGGTGTGACGCACACAATGAGAATTTGCCTTTCATATGCATTATCTCGTCTCCTGTATTAACAGAGCAACTGTAATACATATCTACGACGATAAGACCTTCCCCTCTTCACCCCGTAAATAATAGGAATCATGTAGATTTATGTCTCGGTGAGTTCTTATTGCCCCCGCTCAACTCGACAGTTATATTTCACAGGTGTATATTTTATTACTGGATTTTCTCCATTCTCGATCCAAGAAAGTAGCACATTCTTGAATGGAGAATTTTATTTGCACGTGTACGTCAGTGAGATACACGGAGGTGAATTCAAGAGAAGCAATAAATGTGCAATCGTTTCAGGTCATTCGTCAATTTTTACTGGGATTTTGTTGACACTTTGCATTCTGAGAATGAATTCTCATTGAAATACTCTTGTAGATATTTCTTCGATGATTAATTCCCATTTTTTTTTAATTTGAATTCGGTGTTTCTAGTATCGATTATTTGTCGAGAGTCGATGAAGTCATTTGTCAAAATGGTAACTTCAACTTGTCGCCGTTAGTAATGAAATGTTGAAGAATACTGCTGTTAATGCAGCTGAAAATAATTAACAGGGAACGCTTGCACTTGCGATTGCGCGTGTACACTGTACATATACGACTTACACATTTGAGTTCTATCCTAATTTATCGGCACGCGTGGTATTATACCCACGCAATGCGTTCCACTCGATGAAGGCGACGTTTTTCACGCACGAGGAAGCACGCCACTGCCTTCATGCATGTCTACATAAATGTCTTTGCTGGTCCATCCACATGATCAATACATTATTTCAATGAATACCAATGCCCAACTCATTGTTTTTTCCTTCCGAATCCACTCACACAGACAACACTATATTACGATAAATATTTTAAAATCCATCGCCTCCGACTCGATCTATAACTCATGGAAATTCGACTTTTTTAAACTAGTACCGGAATGTACTCTTTCTGCACTCCGTGCAATTCCCAACTACTTTCAACTATTTCATTACTCCATCCCATCCATTTTCGACTTTGTAATTATTTGTAATGATTTTCAATTTGCAATGATTTCTTCTGTGGCTGCAGCGAATACTCGTTAGAACCCGATTCATTAAATCTTTTTGACGACATGGAATAAAATATTGTTAAAACAGTATTATCTGTCGAATACTGAATCCAATTATCTTCTCTCGTTCAAAATGACATTCGTCAAGCGGTAATATCTAATCCGGGTAGCAGTGCGGGAAAATAGGAAAATCGGGGCGTGCGGAAAGTGAGAGAAGCCGTAGGATTATGCCTTGGAGATGAATTTGCGAGGATATTCCCTGGGCGGTTTGAGATGGTGGCAATATTTTCCCAGGCCCGGAATGCCGGAGGTCTCTACGAGCGAGCGCAAAATGGCTGCCGAGTAGGAGCGATCGACCGTGTGCGAGCTAACGAGCGACGGAGAAACCACTCGTTTCCAACTTCAATTTCTCCTTGTTCCACACTCATCTTTCATCTCTCTCCCATGTCTTCTTGTTTTCTTTATTCCCTATCCCGATACCGGTTCGTTGTCTTTGTTCGGTTCGCTGTATTTTTAATATTCACATCTTTATTTCCATATTTATCTTTTTTTTTTCTCTCCTGTTATCTTTTTCATTTTTATTCTCTTCTATGGTAGTCCCATTTGACTTGTTCCGCACTCTGCTTCTCGTCTCTCACTTGCAGCTCACTTTTACAAATCCACCACTATTTTTTTCGTCTCCCTTTGTTTCCTCTTCTGGTGTAGCCCCTGCTCACTTCCTCTGCAGCGTTTCACCTCTCGTTATCCTCCTTTGTGGGATTTTATCATCCTCTTTTAGCTCACCAACTACCTGGCTCCGTGTCCCTCGTTCCTCCCTCTTCCTCAATCCTCATTCCCTATTTTACCTTTTTTTTTCCAACGCACGTGTAGGGAGAGCTGAAACTAACACAGGGAAAGAATCCTCTGGCTCATGGACAGTACCTCGGGCATGTGTTCAGGTCTTCTCCTCTTCCGCTTCCTAATTAACACTGGCAAACATTTTCGTCTTCATTTTCAGGGGCGAATCCTGGAAAGCTTCACTACACTCTATTTCTATGGAAATTTCATCAAATCTTGCAGTAAAAAAAAAAACAAATACTCCGTTCTTTTAATACTGAAATTATCCGACAGACAATCAATGAATCAATTAATGGAGTACTTGATGTTTTTAATTAAAAAAATATGAGAATATTGGAGGAAAGCAGAAAAGTGGAGAAAGTACAATGTAGAAAATACTTTACAAAATGATATCAATCCTTGGGTGAAATATATTTTCCCCAGAGTGATATGATATATCTGTGATAAATCCATAATAGCCAAATGGCGACATTGACTGGACGTAGGGTGGAATAGTAGTTGTGGTACGTACACAGGGCCCCGTTGATTGTCCACGGACATTGGAACATGCGAACCCATCGAGTATTATTGTAAAGGCATGCAACACATACACAAGGCGCCTTGTCGAGTCATATATGGGAATGAGCCGAGGGTATATCCACAGGGAAGCATCTTCCATGTACCCTGTACGTACATGGTACAGTTAAATATGACGACGGGTAACATATACGTTGTTTCTGGTGAATACAGATAGGTGCGTTGAGCATTTCGAAGTGAGAACGGCGCAATCGCACTTGCTCCCCGC